AAAACCATTAAGTTCCCAGCAACACTTAATTTCTGTACTTAACAAGCAATTAAATGCAAATAAAATGTTCACACATTTGATAGAAATATTACCTGTAACTAAATAATCCACTGCACTAGTCTTATAGTAACTAGTAAAAAAAAAAGAGAGAGAAAATGTAGAAATACACAAATGTTTCTTATCTTTTGCACAACTTTTTACTCCTTTAATAGTTTTTTTTTGCAGAATATATCAGTAAAATTCCTTACACATTTAACAGTCTTGTTTAAGTCCAGTTTAAGAGAAGTATTTCCAAAAAAAAGCACCAGTAGTGTAACCGTAGATATTCACAAGATCAGCATTATTTGTTGCGGAACACAAAACATGATATAATTTATTGTTACACCATTTCCTTTTTGTACGAGAGAGTAAGTTCTTGAGACCAGTGACAAGCAATATTTTTATTATATTTTTCTTCTCGTAACAAAAAAAAGAAAAGAAGTAATTTGGGTATCCTGCGAGACACGCCAAATTTGGTTGAATTGGATTAGAAAAGGAAAGAGCATGAATAATTGAGTGAATTTATAGCGTACCTGCGTCAATAATTCCGGAGACTTGTAGCGGTAGGGAAGGTGGTGTAAGAAACACATTTGGATTAATAATTTAAGGCTGTTGTCATTAAACTTGTTAATAAGTCAGCATGTCACCTATATTGTTTGATTAATCATATTGTCTTTATATTGTTGCCATTTCTATTTATGCCCATTTCTCTTTTAGAGGGAAGTGGCATTTGTAGAGTGGAATGTTGAGTTGTTTCATATAGTTCTGATTGCTGTCTACTAGAAAACCAGCAATTTTTTAATAAGTCTCTACTATTTTTCTCTAGCAGTCTCATCTTATATAATCCAATTATGATAGTGTTGTTGCAGAGCATATCAGATATAGTTGATACTCCAGGGGGAGGGGACACAGCTAGGGTACATTTTCCAATTTTAGAAAACTCCAGGGGGAGGGGACGTAGAGCACAGGGTACATTTCCCAATTTTAGGAGTGGGGGGGGGGGAACATTTTGAATTGGTTTGACCTTTACATAATATTGTTACAAACAATTTCAGTAATTTAGCAAGGCACAGTTTTCAAATTTTTGAAGACAGATGGCCTATGATAAAAAATTTCTGCAGCATTGTTGGATTCAGGAATTGCAGTTGTAGACAAAAGTTCTGTAGATTTTGGGCTTAATACAGTGGCCAAATCTTTGCTCCTTTATAACTAATGACAAGGTCTTATACTGCTGCCACTGTCAGGACAAATCCTTGAAAATCTAAAGTAAGGCTGCTTCTTTCAAAATTGAAAATTTATTGTCTTAATAAAGTCCTAGTGATTGTTTTCAAGTATATTATTAAAACTGCGTGTCTGGTTTGTATAGATGTCTTCTGTCTATCCAATAAGCAATTACGCTGCGAGGCATTGCTTCAAACGTCTCCATCTTCATTACTTGTGAGTATACACACAGAGAAATGTAATCAATTCTCAAAATCAGTAATTGATTGTAATTTAAATTCAACCTTGCCGTTTTCTTACTGAAGATATTGTCTGTGTATTATACAACACAGGATTTAAGATGGATTCTATTGAATACAAATATTTTTTTAAACATTTGGGAGCATACCATAAATGTTCCCTTGTCAGTTTTATGTTACTTGGTAGACAAATTGCCCATGGCCAGAGGATCAACCCTTTTCAGGTCATGAGGTCAAAGGTCAAGGTTAGAGTGACACCATGTTAAGTTGTTGAAAGAGAGAAATAAGACTGAGTTTATAAAACATGGTAATGACATTAACTATTGTGAGTTGATGACCTCTATTAATTTTAAGGTCATTAGTCACAATGACACTTTGTGTTAAGTCCTTGTCCAATAAATCACTTGAGAAGTTATAAGCCCAATTTTTTAAGAAATTCATTACAGATATTGTCCATGGCCATCAGATAACCCCTAGTGTTATTTAGGTCATAAGGTCAAAGGTCAGTGACACTTCTTTATGCAAAGTTTTTGTCCAAAATCCTTGTTCAATCAATACCTTAATAAGCCAAAGATTGTGAGACATGGTAGGTTCCTTTCCCTGATGGCTTTAAGGTGACCTCTAGAGATTTTTAGGCCATTAGGTCAAAGGTCAAGGTTAGAATGACACTGTGCGTAATACCCTTAATATATCAATAGCTTGTGAAGAAATAGAACTTGAAATACTGTTATTACTTACTAAAACAATGTATAACACTTGACCTATGGGTATATTTTTGTATAGTTGCATACTGTCTTGACTGATACTTGTCTGGTAACCAAGTTCTTCTTATTAAGCGCCAGTCTTGAAGACAATTTATACAAATATTTTTATTCTGCAACATATGTGCATCTTAAGTTTTTATATTTGTTTATGACATTGTTGTTAAATGTCATTAATTTATGACAATTGTTGTCTACATATTGTATAACATAACAAGGATATCTCTGATTGTTTCCAAATTCTTCAATATACCTGGCTTAATGCTAACAATACCAGGTAAAATATCAGTCTATAATCTAAACCAGTGTTACAAGGTTCTAGTGCTAGATATTCCTGTTTCCAGGTAGTTTAATATGTGTTTATTATAGTCAGTTTTAAATTGTTTTTTCCCTTTTTTTACATTTGGGGATCCTTTAATTTTTTGGTTGATTTGCAATAGAAACCCCAAATTTCCATGTTTGACCTTTTATTAATTCAGACATTTAATTTTCAGCAAGAAAAAATTTTTAAAGGGTTTTTAGTTTATGTAAAACTTTTAATTTTAACAAATAATTTATTAAATTGTTTAAAAATTTAGGAAATTTCGGTGTGAAAGAAATATTTCCTTCTTTTATTTTAAACATTGTCCTTATACAAAAAACCAAATTTCCTTAATTTAAAATTATTATTTTAAAAAGGGAAATTTAATTGCTCATTGTGCAATAATGTGCCAAAAAAACAAACTGCATTGCAGTTACCTTTAGACCAACTTATATTTTAAAGGATGGGCCATAGTCTGTGTTAATAACACATTACCACAGTTACAGAAATATTTCTTTAACTAGCGTGCATACTTGTTATTGAAAGATTTATTACAAGGTGTGGAAGTGCAGTTGAGAGAGTTCACAAAATAAATTTTTAAATGTTTAGTCTGGAATTGCTGATGAAAGTTTGTAAGATAGATGTCAACTTTTCTTACATTGTGCCTGTTGTTAAGCTATAATATTGTAGTGTGTTTGTTTTGTAATAGCTGCTCTCTCTCTGTTTATTTAATGTCTGCACAATTCATTTATCTTGATTATCCTGAAAACCCGTTACTAATTGAAAATTGGATTATTCCATTTTGCTAATGGTTCTTGTCGAATAAATTTTGTTTATTTTTGTACAGTTTGAAAGATTTGAGTGTTACTTAAAACCCATAAAGAAGTTGCCATTACTCGTAGAAGATTTCAAGTGTATCCTGTCCTATATTTGTTTGAAAGAACTTAATTTATGTTCAACTAAGTGTTTAGAAAATGCAAAGAAGAGATAGTCTGTATGTAAAAGCTTGTGGGAATCCTAAAAAAGGTTTATTGGTTTTAAAGACCCAATTTTTTTTTCCCTTTTCAAATTTTTGCTGAATTAAAAGTAATGTTTCATCACCCAAATTCATACAAAAAAAACCCCCAAATTATAGATCCCTCCTTTTTCCTTTTATTTTTTAAAACAATGATTTAACTGCAAATATTGACTTGTGTTCTTTTGATGGCGAAATTCGTATTGTAATCCTTTAATCTGATAATCCAAAGACATGTAGGATCTATGTATCTCAAGAATTGAGTTTATTCCACAATGCAGATTTATTGTCTGAATTTTTGATCAAGAGAAAAATTAAACCCATCACAACATAAGATGCGTAGAGACTTGTTTATTTTCATAAATTTTTGTTCATGTTGCAATATAATCATAATGATATGATGAATGCTGTCATATGAAAATATGCTGGTTGAGTGGATGATGTATTTTTATTGCACTGAAGCTTGGTACAGTCTGGTAAAAATGCGTATTGTAGAATGTTCTCTTTTTTTGTCAGAAGCCTGAATAACTTTAGAATGTTTTATTTGTGTACTCAGTACAGTTCATACTTGGGAACTTTTTTCAATGATCTAGTGGGAGATTTTTCTTCATTTTAGAATTTGCAATAAGCAAAGAAGGAAGTTCTGTCATCAAAAAAGAGGGAGATTTCTTTAATTTGTGAAAATACCCCTTATTTTAAGAAAAATCTTTGAATATATGGCCGCTTAAAGTGGGAGAGTTCACATGAAAACAGTTATTAGAAACAGAAATTTGCATGGAACTGAGATTTGTGCATAAATTGTCAAATTTACAGCTTGAAAAAAAAAAAGATAAAAAAGAGGTATCATTTCGGTGGTGTTGTGGTGTATTAAAATACTGTTTTGGTGATGATAGTGATGGCAATAATAGTTTTGTCATGTCCATTGTCCTGATGATGATGACTGATAATTGTGATGATTATAATCATGTTAGTATGACAACAAACATCCCTGACTTATTTCTGTGTTAGAAATTCCTCTTCTTCATCTTTATTGGTTCTTATGTAACTGACAGAGAATCTTTCTGTCTGTGTGATGAAAGAAGACTGTTAAAAGTTATATACCTTTGAAGACAGGAAATATAATTTTATTACTGGTTTTCTATATCCTCAGATAAATGAAATGTTAAAGGTCAGTGTGATTATTGCAGGGCAAGTGTGTGAAGTAAAAAAAAACAAGTAAATCAATGCTTGTTTTTCTATTGCTTTTTATACCACACTGTTCTGGCATTGTAAAAGTGATGTATCAACTTCCCAGCTTAAATACTGGTGGAGCAATTCCACAGATGCTCCTTGTAAAATTATGTCAGTCATGAACTGGCACCACCTAGGATAAGGTAGTGGTATAGAAAATGAGATATATAAACTTTATGATTGTATAATTTCAGATAAAGATGTTGAGTGACAAGATAAATGGTAAACCACGAGGTTATGCTTTCATAGAGTATGAACATGAGAGGGACATGCACTGTAAGTATATATATCATCATACTGTACTGTTCTCTCACTGGCAGTACGGATGTTTCTTATATGGTTCTTTATGGTTACTATCCTTACAGAGGGATATTTCCTTTTCTTTTTTAAAAAAAAACGTCATTACTATATTAGATTGTCAATAAGATTTTATATGATTATGATAATAATGATGATAATAATGATAATAATAATAAGATTTTTACGATGATAATCATAATAATCCATAATGATAATGATAATAGTAATAGTAATGATAATAATGATGATGATGGTAATATAATGGAGCGATATATTTGTAAAACAAATTCAATAAAAACTCAATAGTCAATAAACTTATTTTTTGCCTGAGTATAAAAAAAGTCATCACCATTATAAAGAGTAATTCATTTAACAGATCATAAATTATTTTTGCTAAAATATGTTTTAAAATAACTATGACATGGTAAAATTTAGTATCATAAAAATTAACTGAATGTTCTTTAAATAAAGTGATAGCTGAAGATTCAAAATATGAGCTATTATTTTCAACCAGTAAATGTAAAATATGAACCAAGCGCTAGGTGAATGTGAGTATAAAAGTTGATAAGTGAACAAATTTTAACTTAAATTAAACTTACTTCATTGAAATCTAGATAGAGATAAATGTAAAGTAAACTTAAAATAAGTTGAATAGTTATTAGTGTTATTGTAGCTATAAATTAGTTTTTTTTAAATAATTAGCAAAGAATGTAAGTGAAAGTGTCAAGTTTGAAACTAGTTTTATCTGGTATAATGTTATTGTCAGACTTGTACATTATGTTATGTTGGCAAGGTTTTGACAGTAATTGTTGCTCAGGTGAACATTCTGTATAAACAATTGTCTCTTCTTTTCCACTTACAAACTATTGAAAATATGTGTAATGACGCATGTAGTAAAGAAAACCTTTGAAATGAAAAAAAAACCTACCACCCTTCCTGAAAAACATTTCCAAGAATCATCAGAGTAGTAAATAAAATAAGGAAATGGAAGTATAATTAACAATTGTAAACACATGGAGAAACATTTTATATAACAAACATTCGTCATTGTGTACTGATTTATGAAAGTACATCATAACTAGCAGTGGGATAATGGATAGGATATCTCCTCTTTTACACCTGGACTGAGGTCATGGCCATGTTCTCTTAAGTATACAAATTATAAAAATCATAGTAATGACTATATTTAGTAAGTTTAACCAAGAAATTTTATCTTTTCATTATTGAAATTGACACATTAAAAAAGTGGGAATTGTCAGAAATCAGCAGTAAAGCATAACTGGCAATTAAGTTAAGTAACTAGACATGGAATGGCAGTTAATTAGTGTTATATTTGTTACTGGTAGACTACTAATGATAACATAATGTTACATTGTCTGATGTACTAAACTAGAATATTTGTAATGGAGACATGCACTCATAATTTGTATGGAATTCTTTTGTAATAATTGGAATTGTTATGAATAGAAAGCAAATCTGGTATTCAGCACTCAAATGCACTGTATAGAATAAAACAGAGAAGTTATGACATGTTAGTCCAAATTCTGTATGATTTTGTTAATGCTGTGGTAGCTTTTGTACTTTAAAAGTAAATCTAAAATAATCTCCAAATCACAAGTACTCTTGGTGTTCTTGGAATTACAGCCAGACATGTGTTTTTTCTAAAGGCATTTGCACTATACAGCTGAACAGATTTGATTAAGTTTTTTCATACTTTCTGCCTTCTTCCATGATCAAATTGGTATTGCCCAATTTATTTATAAATTTTATTAGTGGCAAGGTTAACTCTATATTCTGTGTACAGGATATGGTATAAAGGAGCATCACTATGAAGTTGGCAACACTACACTCTAAAAGAATTTGTGCAATTACTTCAAAAACTTAAGATAATTAATTTAAGCAGTCGTGCATCTGTAAAACTAATGAGAAAGTTCTGAGAACAATTCTATGATACTTCTATAGTTACATATCTTTGTTGACCTTTATCTCCCAAAGTTGATTTCCTGTATAATGATATATATGTACATGCAGTAATAATGGTCTCTGTTTCAATAATTTAGTATGAAACATTACTCTAAAAAAATTTAAAAAGTAAAGATTTCTCTAAGGTGGTCTGTAGATCTACATGTCTGTTTTTCTAAAAAAAAATCTTTACAGGTGTTTGATTATTTCTGAACCTTGTCAATTTTAGTACATTATTTTTAATTGTTCACCGAATCACAAAAACAGAAATCATGCTCCAAATCAAAGAATGTTCTGGAAAATGTTTGGAGCAATGGAACCAGTCTAAAAGAGGTGGTCTAGAATGGCAAATATTTGACTGGTTATGTTTTCAAGCAAAGCTTTATTATTAAAGCTGTAAAGGATTTTGTTACTGGGCTTGCTTGAGCTTCTTTACAGTTAAAAGACATGGTGCCCTGACCATTATCATTATTAACTGAATAAGCTTTGTTTTAAAATGATATTTTATAATAAAATTAAAATGATATTTTATAACGAAATTTACAGATAAAATTTATCGGTTGTTTGGTATCTTTATAAAATCTTCATTTGAAATTGAAATTTTTATAAAATTAAGGTTTATTGAAGAAATACTAATTGTAAATAGTGAAGACCCCTTAATTGTCTATTTAAACTGTTTTGATTAATATAGCAATAAAATAACATTTTAATGTTTTACACTACTTGAGTTAATATACCTCCATCTATTATAAAACTCTTTAAGATTTAGTTTTACCTGTATATATCTGCTAAATTGTTACCTATAATGGAATGATGTACCAGTACATAATAGGTGGTCTTATGTTCAGATTCTAGGGTGGTTGGTCATCATGTATTGGTCAGTATTTTGGATATTTTAACAACAACACAAGGTTGACTTGTCTACATTTTTGGCCTGTAAAAATCAAGGTGACAATTGATTTTGAGAAGAAATCATTATAAAGATTTGCTCAATTAGTATTAAGCTCTTTTTTAACAGCAAGAATGGGCAAGTTGACACTTGGTCTCAAATTCATGGTGGGTTCACAGAGCAAAATGTTAAATTAAATGTTGTCCTAAAACTAAAGGTTAGTTATAGGTTGGTTTGATCTGGACCTGGTAAATTTTTAAAGTTGATGTTACAAATTTCTTAACTATCAGAGATTACCATAATGGTGCTTTTGCTGACTATATCAATTAAATTGAAATTGATGCTGTGTGTAAATTGTATTTATGTCAATTTGAAAAGATAAAAAACAACACACACAACTAAATGTTTCTCCTAAATGCCTTTATGCTGTTGCCTTTCTTCATTTTAATGTTTTCTTAAATGCAGCACAATTTAAGATATTTGTTTTATAGGGCGTTGTTACTGCCTAACTGTTTAATTTTATTGTAGTACCTACTGAGCTCTGACTGAAGTCTTGGCTCCAGATGAGCTTTGTTCATTCTTTCATTTATCAGATGGTGAAAAAAATAGAGAGAGAAAAAAGCAAGAACATAGTTCCTGTATCCAAAAAGTGTAACATAAAAAATAAACTGAGGAGATAAAAAAAAATTGGGGGAAATGTTAAAAAAATGGTTTTGATAAGGTTTTTTTTCTCATTGGATTTACTACTTACATTTTTTATAATTCAACAGTTAAGGTAAAATGCTTCAAACCGTATAAATTTAGTTTGTTATCGTATAAATAAGTTAAAATAGTATATAACAATATCTAAATTGGTCATAATAATTTAGCTGTGCCATCTAAATTAGTCTCAATTAGTGATAAATAATCTAGATCCTTGTCTTATTCTGGTGAGTTTTTCAAAAAATTATTGTAAAAAGACAATAGTTTAGCTGAAAGCAAAATTGTCAGACAAGACTGGTGGGCACATTCTGTACAGTGTGACAAGGCATTATACTGTTGTCTATAGTTCTTGGTTTGGTCATTGTACTTAACCTACACCCTGCTGGGAGTGACTGATTCTACCTATGTGACCAGTGCAGACCATGGTCAGACGGTACGGTACATACATGCTGTCTGATAATGGTCTGTACTGTTACATGTTCAATCAATACATATCTTGATATTTTCCCCTAAAGATTATAGAAACATTTTATGAAAATGTTCTTAGAATAAAAATATTTTAAGGCTGAAAATATTATATAGATGATAAATTTTGAAATTTTTAGCTAGAAACTTTAAAAAAATTTTTTTTTTTACTGGACACCTGAAATGGATGAATTTGAAATGTAATAGTCTTGCATAACTTATTTACTGTCCTATCGGAAAGAATAACATACTTTAACTTCAGTTTTAAGTATGAGGTTTGAAATGTATTCAGTGTCATGATGTGTGTTGTATTTAAAGAAATATAAAGTGTTACATACCTGCTGGTCAGAATGAGTATGCTGGGAACACGAAGCAAACTCCACCTCAAACATCATGTGATATAATTCCGAAATATGTTTTTATTATTGAAGTATTCTATATTCCATGTGTATAAACAATTAACAGGGTGTTTTGTAAATGTTATGGATACACTAGCTAACTCATGTAACCATCTCTACCTGCTGAATGTAATAAAATGCCCTCCTGAAAGACATGTTTTCAAACACTTGTTTCATAATTACAATAAATTATGATGGTGAACTTGCACAGAGTACACCATTTTGAATCAGTTGCTATCCAAAAAAACATTGTTTGATCTTGTAAAGAAATATGAATAATTGACTTGGTGTTTGGTTAACTAAATCCTTCAGCAAGATAAAGGTAAAGAATGTTTTTCCTTCACACCTTTTTAATATGAATGAAGTTGTCAAGTTTCCATATGTTTATTATTTTGTTTACTCAGTGTAGAGAATTTTTTACTTGCAATCAAATGGAAAGCCTGAGAGTGCAGCCAAAACAGATACCGATACTGGGGGGTTTTACATGTTTTTTTTTTCTTGTAGGAAATGCTGTTTAGCTCTTGTGATGTTAATGAGAGGGTTAGAATAGTTTTTATTATCAATCAAGGTATTTAGCTCTACTCTAGATGAAGTATTTACATTACAACATGTAATTATATCATTAAACCTCGGAAATAACCTTCTGTTCTAATTATACATTTCTTCTACAAGAACTGATTAATGGTGGTTTTTGCTGCCAGACCTTGTAACAAGATAAAAACTAAATTGTTGCAATTTTGGTATGTCCTCATCTCTTATTGATTATCTCCCCATTTCTGATAATTTTCCCCATTCTAATGATTATCTCCCCATTTCTTATGATTACCCCCTTCTAATGATTATCTCCTCATTTCTTATGATATCCCCCTTCTAATGATTATCTCCTCCTTTCTGATGATTTCCCCCTTCTAATTAATGGTTAACTAGTGTCTTGTAATTTCTGTAAAAATGATATGTTGAATTTCAATGTTATCCATTGCACAATTTATTAAGATCCATTAATTATCCCCCTTTTTTGGTTATCTCCCTATCTCACACTGTGCTGGTCTAGAATTACTTCCCTTTGTAAAAGTGATAAAAGTATCCAAAAGCAATGGCTTTGTGCTTCATCTCCTTTTATAAAACAAACATTTCTGTTAATCATTGTTAACTCATGTTTATTTGCAAGTATGTTTGTAATGGTATACCTGGAGATGGGATGAAAATAACTGAAAATGTTCCTAAAGTATCTGTATGATAAATCAAAATGTTGGACATTTGAAATTCCTGTGTTGATGATTTCTTGTGTTATTTCCTCTCTACTATATTATGAAACTGACATTAGTTAAGTGTATAATAATAATGGGTGGGTGAAATAGTGGGTGGGTGAATGGATTGAATCACTATAACATCATTAAAAATAAACAATAAAATAGAAATATATAGATGTATGATGCAGTGTATTAGCCATGTCTGGTAGATGTGTAAACAACATCAGGATAACTTCTAACTTCTATAACATACTGTAAATTGGTTGCTTGGATGCGTTGAGGTAATTTGAATAAATAATGAGGAAAACAATAATTTACGTATTTATTAGATTGTATCAGGTTTACCACATATTACTTTAGAGACTGAGGGGAAATAATGGATAAAAGTACATAGATATAATCTAGTTTACCTGCCAGAAACTGTAATTCCCAATATTAATGATACATGAAATTATATTATAAAAGATTATCACAAAAAATGAGTATTAATTAATACATAGAATTTCCATTTAAGAAAAAACAAAAAATCCCTTTAAGCTTAGTGATAAACAAGTATACAAGAGATTTGTCTTGCTATTGAATTTAATGTTTTACTCTTAGCCAGCTGAATGTTTAATACTGGATTGTCATGTTTTAAACTGGCTATATTTAATATGTAATGAATTTTCCTAGCTTCTAATTAAGAACTGTCTGTTAGCAATTGTGAGGACATTAAAGAACCAGTATATATAGAGCCTGGTCAAAATTGTATGGAATTTGCTGACTAGCCTGGCTCTATACTGATGACAAATGTTAATTACTTAGTACCAGTTCCAGCAGGGTTAAGGAAATTTCACTTTCAAATTTCAAATAATTACGTATTAAACAGCCATCAATATTATGTCTGGTCACACTAGACAGGTTTTCTTGCATGTCTGACTTCATTATTAAGCCATAGGCAGTTCAAATATTATATTGCCAAAGGGAAATACCAGCTATTGTAGAAGTTTAGAAAGTTATGAAGCAATAACTGATCTGTTATTTTAACAATGCTGAAATGTATTAATAAAATAATAAAATACTTGAAATCATTAAAGAGAAATTAAACTTGAAATTATAAAGAGAAACTAACATTATACCCTGTAGAAATACAAACTGTGATGATTTAAAATTATGATTTTTTTTTCCCTTCAAATTTTGATTTAAAATTTTAATATAATAGCTAGAAACAATAAATGAAAACAGATTTCTTGGAAATAATAACTTTCAAAGATGTATTTAAAAACTTTATAAAATTTATAACTCAATGGTTGATTATTTATTAATTATAAATTGTTAATATTTGTACAAGTTAACATTTTTGTTTATTTTGAATTAAAATATTTGTTGAACTAGTCATGATTTTGTGCATGCATTATTATTGTTCAGATATGAAATGATTAATTCAGGATATTAAAAGTAAATTAAAACACATATACTTTGTTACGTCTTTATGTATATGAAAATTCTGTGATGAACTAATTTGATGTTTTTGAATGCATACATATCCCTTACTTTGTTACCTTTATAGTTATGAATATTAGTTACTGACGGTGTAATGCACAGGTAAATGAAGCAAAAATAAGGAGTGGTAAGTCCTAAAATGTGTCCTTCATCTTTTTCATCCAAAAACAAACAAAAAACAATAATCTTGGAATCTATGGTAAGAAATATGGTTAAAGGTTTTATTGGGGGGATGGGAATTAATGTTTGTTAAGTTAAATTTTGGTTTAATCAAGCTGGTAAGTGTTTTTAAACAATGTTGTAAATTTTTGGTAAGTAAAGAAGAAAAAAACAAATTTTATGTTAGGGATGTTTTAAGTAAAGGGAAATATGGAATTGGTAAGTTTTGGGGAATAAATTTGGTAAGTGCATTAAGTAAAATTGAAACTGTTTAATTTAGAATGATTTAGAACCGGACTAATATTTCTATTATTATTTTTGCTTCAGAGTGCAAAATGAAGGTCCGCCATTCAGTAACGAATTTGTCCCGATTTTCTGCTCAAAATATATCACAAGAATTAGGGTTTGTATACCAGTGGTAAGCTTGGGGATTTAAACAGTTAAATAAAAATCAGTCAGTTAAAACAAGTTATAAAACAAACATTCGATATAAGTAAAATTTAAAAAGATTATCGCTTAAAACGTACATGTTAAAGTATTATTTTAATCGAACATCATACCGTGTAAGGGGTATGACACAAAAATCTTAAATCTTTCTGATATTTTAAGGTTTTCAAACTATTGGGGGGAAAGTAAAATAAAATTTACATATTAAAAACAAAATCAGGTAAGCTGGGTTGATCCGTTGTGGATCTTTATCGACGACCCATGCTGCAATGGAAATATAAACCCCCGAGAGCAGTGCTCTAGAGCAATGTTATTTGCTATCTGAATGATGGAAAATGTTCCATGTTTTAAGGAAACCGTTGGGTAGGTTAAGGTGTAAGTTTTTCTTTTGTTATGTATTATTGATGTTATCTTTCTTTGATACATAGCACAGAAGATTCATTCTGTACAAAAACCCCTTAAATATATAATAAAAAGATTTATTTTAACTAACCCTCCTGTTTTAAAATAAATCACCAAACACACTTCAAAAAAAGCAAAAATTTCAGCAGATGTGAATTTTGGGACACTTTTGAATTGTTTACACTCTAGAAAAATTAATATTTAAAAGCTTTTCTTTTTTTCAGGGTAAGTATTGAGAAATCCTTGATATTGTTTCTATGGAAACGAAAATTTGATAATCAAGGATTGTCTCAAATCATGTATTTAGTTTCTATGACAGTTGTTATGGAATTTTACAGTTGATGATTTTCAGGCACAGTTTTCAAGAATTGTTTCAATTTTAAATTTTATTTTATAATGTTGAGTAAAACCTGTATACCATAAAATCTTGCACAAATTAATTGCCAAATTAAAGTACTAAGTGATTAATTTTAGGGCTTTTGGTTTCTTGATGCTACTTTTAATAAAACAAAAATCACATTTTTGTAAAGTGGCCATGTATTTGGAGTATTTTATTTTAGGCTTGACATATTACAGGTTTTACTTCTTTATTTGCACATTTAGGAAATTTCTTTTATTTCCAATGTTTAATGACTTTTAGGAGCATCACTGACATTTGGATTAAATTATTGAGGAGTGATTTGGAAAACAGAATACAACTCATTTTTACTTTGATTGTAATTCAGGAAAATGAAAATTTAATAGGTAATTTTGGCACTTTAGAAATATATCCTCCATTATCACAGCATAATGGTAATACATGCTTTGATAATGTGACTGTGGGTTTAATACAACTTGGCTGTTATAGATGTTATTGATGTTGAGGTAATAGAGGCATAAATTGAACACCATATAAAACTTGACTATTTTCCCTCCCCTGTATCTAGCGGCATATAAACATGCTGATGGTAAGAAGATTGATGGTCGTAGGGTGTTGGTAGATGTCGAGAGAGGGCGCACCGTCAAGGGGTGGCGACCAAGAAGATTGGGTAAGCTTTGAGAAAATTCCAATTTAAAAATTACATTGACTCAAGAAAAATAATAGACATCCTTTCATAAAATAGGATTCAAAGAATTTTCACTTCAGTGCAAAAAAAATGAAAATAAAGCAAATAAAAGTCTAGAAGTGATAAAAAGACAGAAATATTTTTCACAAACAGTTGTTTATTGCTTATGTACTAAAACTCACAAAACAAATAGTTCAGTGACAACAAATATGATGAATATTATTAGGGATCACAGAAGAAAAGAAAGCTTTTGACTAGAATTTATTTTCAAAATTACTGTTTCAACAGGTGGTGGTCTTGGTGGTACAAGAAAAGGTGGCCCTGAGGAAAACACTCGATTCTCTGGAAGAGACGACTATGGCAGCCGAAATGAAGGCTTCCGAGATCGAGAGAGGGATACAGAACGTGAGAGACCTGCGGAGCGGGAAAGAGAACGACCGGAGCGAAGACGTAGATCAAAGTCGAGAGAGAGGGATCGTGATAGGAGGAGGAGAAGTAGAAGTCGAGACAAGAAGAGGGACAAAGAAGGTTTGTGACATATATACTTTGTTTTCAGTCCAGATAAGACTTATACCTTACACAGTTTATTATACTTGAAGCTAAATAATCTTAAACTAATATTATGACAGAATATTATGTAATATTATGTTGTATAATTGCTGATTTGAAATTCATTTATCTGCAGATAATAATTGTATATCAAAGTTAAGACTTCGTACGACTATATCTGATGGCTTATTATTACCAAACAAGTTTTAGAATAATGGCTTTTTGATTCATTGGTAAAATTGTGGACTACATTTGGAATAATGAATGTTTCAGGTGGCGAGGAAGACGAAAAAGAGAAGGATAAGGATAAAGATAAGGGAGATAGAAAGAAGCGATCTAGAAGAAGTCGATCACGTGACCGAGATCGCAGCAAGAAACGAAGCAGATCTAAGGATAGGGATCGTAAACGCAAGAGGAGTAGAAGCCGTGATAGAAAACCGAAGGAAGAACCCACAGATGAACAAGGTGGTGGAGGTAATTGTGTTCAAACTTGAAACATTGGTGGAATCTTTAGAAAATAATTTGATGTACAAATAATAAGAACTGATTTGGATAATAATAATAAAAATAAAAGCTTTATTTAAAGAGGCTACATATTCGCCAAAAGGATCTTCCATATGTACCTCAACATAATTACAAGAACAGTAATGATTGCTTGTATTTAGTCAAATGATTAACAACACAGATGAAAAAAATGCTGAAATTTTTATGTTTATGATTATTTTGAAAACTTCTTGAACATCTTTTGATAGGTTATCAAAAATTTTTTAATTTAATTTGAGATTCAACTTACAAAGATATTATAATATACAATATTTTTATATATAACAAGCATGCTATAATTGAAAAAGAAAAACAACAACAAAAAGTAAGTTTCTAACATTGTCATTGATTGTGAATTTATAGATGGTGAACCGGGAGAATACACTGAGCCAGAAATTAAAGAAGAGCCATTTGATGATGGTGAATACGGGGGAGTTTATAATAACGGTAGCGGAGGTCAGGCCGAACAGGAAGAGGGGCAATATGGGGAATACCAGGAACAGGAAATGGAGGCTAACTAGGGAGCTGGAATACTCAGTAACAAAGATGCATCATGTATGCATAGATTTGAATGAAAAGATATGTAATACACTGTTGTGTAATAGAGACTAGCAAAACATTTTTTGCAATGTCTTTCTCGGTTTTATTTATAGGTGAAAAATCATTGTTTAAATTATTTTAAACATCTTTTCTTTTGTGTTCATATTTGAAAATGTTATTATATGTAAACCATCAGATAATGTTGTAATACCTGTGTACTTTTAATGAATACCAGTAAATTGTTATCTTAAAGTACAGACATACTGTTAATTGATCATAAATCATAATTTATACTTCATAATTGAGATAAAATCTTTATCAGAAACTGACATAACTAGGTGAAATTTTTATAATATATTTGACATTTTGAATATGTTTATCTAGATAATAGGTATTCACCCTAGAATTTTAATGTAACAAAATAAAAAAGTGATCTGCAGAATCCAATTAACAACTATAATTGTTTGAAATATGACATGTTGTTGTAGTGCAGTGATAAGATTTTTAACTATTGTCATCATTAATCATCTCTCAATCATAATTTGTTCTCACCAATCATTCATTTTTACCTAACAAATCAAAATCACTAGAATAGAGTAAGATTCTACAATGACTTGTAATGGTAGATAATTCTTCATGAACAATACTGAGTGTAAGCATTCAAAGCGACTACAGAAATTTATATGGAATAATGAAATATTTTGATTTCAGTTTAAGAAAAGGAATCAAACTGAAATTAAAGTAGTGAAATGTTAAACTAAAATGTTACTTCTACAACTGATAGTGTAATATATTCATTTCTATAAAACAAAATGTTGAAGTTTTAATATATAATATAACTGAAAGGTCTAGTTATAAGTTTTTATAATAATATCATTGAAATTCCACGTAAAATATGAACATTTTACATGTTTAAAAAGACCCATTACTTTGGTGATTTAATTTTACTATTATTAAACGGAAAAACTAGTACTTTTTTGTCAAATGTTGATTTAGAAGTAAAATGTTCTTAAGATCAGCATTTATTTTATATAATTATAAAACATAAGGAAGAATTTACCTTAAAGAATTTACTGTAAGAAGTGTTCATCATAACATGTAAATCCTCGTGACAGTTTTTTCTGTTGGCTTAAACTTCTATATAACAACATACTGTATAAACTGTGGGCTTTTATATGGGCATTTAGGGAACTACCAGTGGATATACCAAAATGTAGTTACAAAATATTTAAATATTTTACCGTTTTTATTCTTGTAAGCAATATGTTAATATAAATGAAATCAGCTTATTGTTTTCCTTTTTTTATCTTGATTTTGTTAATATTCCTCACAAATGTTATACAAGCAAAATTTCTTTTAATGCTTTATTTCAGAAAATATATTGACAAAAATATTTAAAATAAGTAATTGCAGTAAAATAAATTTCACTGGGAGGAGATTGGGGACATACTTATATCATGGTTATTTTTTTAATGCGTCCGGAAAGACAAATGTTTTCTTAAAAGAGGAAATACAGTAATGCTGGATAAAACTGGTGGTATAAGTGGCTATGACACCTGTATTCCCTAATTGAACTTAGGTTGTTAGATAGTTTAAATGCTATTTCTATGTAGAGATATTGTTTTTACACCAGCCCATCTGTATATGTAAGTAGACAAGTTTTCTCCATCTATTTGTTGTCTACACTAATGTGGTGAATAAATAATGAAAAAATGGATTATTGTCTTATCCTTATTGCCCTGTATACTACTTGACATAAATGTTCTAATGTACTTTATAGTAAGAAAATTCTAGACAAGATCACTACAGAAATTTGCACATAAATCATGTAAGTCTGTTATTTTGAATAAAAAAGGTTGTGTCCAATGCAGTTGTCATTTAGAAAATTCTGTCAACAGTTGTATTGAAGACAAAAAAAAGCTTCAGAGACACAGGTAGGTTAAAAAAAACGGCATCGAAGATTTCTTGCAGTATGTCCGCCGCCGAACTAAACGGTTTTATGTTGGCGGTTTTAAACCCAATATAACTGAGGCAAAGTTAGCGAAGTATGTTAGTGACAAAGGCCCAACAGTTACCAAAGTTTCAATCTTCAGAAATAAGAAATTTAGATCAACTGTTGTCCGAGTAAATGTTGAGGACAATCATATGGCTGACTTGCTTGTCAATGACCCATATTTCTGGCCCGAAGGTATCCAATGTAGACCTTGGTTATCATATAACGGTTATAAAAACCGTCATAATGAAGCACCCCCACGCCAAATAGGTCAAAGAGACCAGAAGGTCAATAATGTAAAGTCCCGCTATCCGTCTCATATGCGGTATTCAAACCGTTATAGAAATGACCAGTATATATCCGGCTGATTATAATCCTTATAGCACTCTAGACGGCGATGTTGAATAGAATCTTTATTATTACTTATGGATACTTTTAATAGTTTAAAAATAGCAACATGGAATGCAACTGGTGTAATGTCCAGTGCAAGCTACTTAGCAGACTTTCTGGTAAATAATAAAATAGACATTTGTGGAATATCTGAACATTGGTTATTTAGACGGGATTTACATTTTTTAGAAAGTATTAACTCTGAATATATAAGTTACGCTATATCTCACCCCGATCTAGATATTTGTTCAACGAGAAAAGTAGGTAAAGGAGGGCTTGCTCTCTTATGGCATAAACGTTTGAATCCAGCTATAACGAAACTTGAACTGAACTGTGAAAACTTCATTGGTGTTCAAGTTATGACGTCTCCTGGATGTTATATATTTATAGTGCAAGTGTACTTTCCATGTAAAAATCACACAATACGCTTGTATAAGCAATACATTGAAGATTTAGAAAATATTATATGTGCATATCAAAATAAAGGTACATTATTTATAATTGGCGACTACAATGCTGAACTTGAATCCAGTCGCATTTCAACTTCTATCCATATTGATTCTCGAAGCAAACTGTTATCAAATCTCATGGCAAAATTTGATCTGAAATCATTAAACACTCTTCCTATATGTAAAGGATCAAAGTTCAGCAATGTACCGTACAATAGTGATAGACAGACACTCATTGATCATATAATTGTACAGGATACTTGTGTACAAAATGTAATTAATTGTCAAATTTTAGATGACGATGCTCTTAGTGTTTCTACACACCGGCCTATTGTATGTTGTTATCATGTACATGTAGCGAAAGAAATTTTCAGAAAAAGTACACAAAATATAATTAACTGGCGAAATGTTAAACAGGAAGATTTATGTGCTTATAGATCATTCTTAGACAATAGTGACGTTCTAAAATGCGCTTTAAGTCTCGAGATTAGTGAAACTTCAGTTATTGACGAATTATACTCGGCTATCGTTCTTATTGTCAACCTAGCGACAGACTTATACATCCCAAAAGTTCGCTTTAAGCCTTACATTAAACCATATTGGAACGAAACGCTGACAACACTACATAATGAAATGAAGAAAAAAAGACAATCATGGTCAAGTGAAAATCAATTGAAAGGCACGCCCACCCACGAAAACTACAAAGCTGCGAAACGAGCATTTAGGAGTTTTCACAGAGATACGGTTTTTCGTTATCTACAGAATCAAGAGGAGGATATAGACTCCGCTGCTGAATACGATAACAATGAATTTTGGAAATTAATTAATAAGCGACGAAATAAGAAACCATTCACTGCCGGGTCTGAAATGAACTTTAATGGCTGTGTCTTGAATGACCCGAAAGAAATTAATTCCGCTTGGAAGCATTATTTTAGTGAGCTTTACTCACCAAATGAAGAAGCATCATTCAACCCGGACTATAGGATTAAAATTGTGAATGACTTTCAAGCATTAAAAGAGGCATTACCACAGCGGAAAGGAAAACACCATATAATTGACGAAGAAATGCTTTTGAAAGCACTTAAATCATGTAAAAATGGTAAGGCGTGTGGAAATGACAAAATTTATTATGAAAACATTACTCACGGTGGGTCCTTACTTCAATGTGTATTATTAAAGTTATTCAATGGAATGTTAAACTTATCCCACACCCGACCGATTTAAAAAGGGGATTATTTCAACACTTTTCAAGGGAGGCAATAAAAAGAAAACTGATCCTAACAGTTACCGAGCAATATCTTTGTGTTCTTGTGTGCTTAAACTTTATGAAAAAGTCCTCATGCAGTTAATTGAAGATGACGGGAAATTAGAGTTTAACTCATCACAGGGAGGTTTTCAAAAAAATGTGAACTGCCTGATGACAACGTATATGTTACGTGAATGTATCAACTACGCAAAAGAAAATAATTCCCCGGTATATACGTGTTTCCTAGACGCCAAGCAAGCGTTCGACAGAACATGGACATCTCTTCTATTAATCAAATTATACAATACCGGAATTGACATTACAATATTCAAGGCAATATTATCATTCTTCACAGAATGCTTTAGCTGTGTTAAATCACAAGGCTATACATCGGACTGGTTCCCGATTCTGCAAGGTACCAGACAAGGGCAGTGCCTAAGTCCTTACCTATATATCGTATTCATTAATCAGCTGATGAATGAAATAGAAAATAATGAATATTGCTTCAAACTTCATGATATACGATGTGGTTGTCCAACGTCGGCGGATGATATGGTGCTTATATCACATGTTAAACACGGTCTTGACAACCTTCTTGACATATGTTATGCAAATGCTCAAAACGAACGAATTTTGTACACTCGTATAAAGTATAAAGTCGTTGTTTTCAATGACAAATCTAATGTTCCTCGTAAATAGAAATTTGGAAGCAGAGAAATCGAAGAAACTGACAGTTATTTGCACCTGGGAGTGATTTGTAATAAGTCTCATTATCTTTATCAGAAATTGTAAAGGAAAGTTGTACTATACTCCGCAAAACATTTTAAAGCTGTGCGGTTTGTGGAATACAAAAACATGGGTTTAACCCGCTCACGTCTAAGAAAATATATGAATCAGTAGAGTTACCGCGAGCGCTTTATGGGAGTGAACTGTGGAATAAAATTACAGACGCACAGATAGCTCCCCTTGAACGAGCTCACCGTCAATACAAAAAGCATATACCAAGCGTTCCGACAAATTCAAGTTAAGCAGCCTAGGCATATTTCCGATAAGCGTCATCAATGACAAAAGGAAACTCCTCTTCTTCGGTTTACTGTGTCGTTTGAATACAAAATTCAAAATTAAACAAGTATTTTCAAATAGACTTACGTCGTACATGCTGGAACCGAGAAAAGTGTCTGGATTTATCCCAGATTTATACAAAATATTAGGTCGGTATGGACTAACTTCGTTCTTACGAATTTACATGAACACTGGAACTATACAATCCTCATACGCATGGAAAAACACGATCAAATCAGCCATTCACAAAACTGTTGAATTCGAATGGCGCAATAGAATATTATGCGATGCCAGTCTATCTAGTTTCTCCCGCTTGCACTCAAAGTATGAACCTTGTATGTTATGGAGATTCAGTCGCCAGTATAAAACATATCAGATTCAATGTGTCTATGCATTCAGACTTCTTTCAAAATTTTTCTCAAGAAGCTATGAAGTAACGTGTGATAAATGTGAATTACCCACTGACTATATTGTGTTACATCTTATTTTCTTCTGTGAGAAAATGGAGAGTATCAGATCTACATTATGGTCTAACCTGTCACATATGTTAGGCATACAACAATTCGAAATCTTTTGTTCCTTTTCACCAGAATCACAACTTTTAGAAATGTTCAGTGGTTTTGATTCTTTTGACATGAACGATAGCCTGAGAGTATCATGTTTTAAGGTGTTCCTAGCAAGTGTCTATAACATGACTACCTAAGCAATGTATAAACTGTGATATAAGCAGATGGCGAATAACTTCATTGCATTAAGTTATATTGAGTTATGAACGTGTACATAAAGATTTAATACTGAATGTTATATATGTTCAATTATTTATGTTTGATTTATGAATTTTCTTATTATAAATGTACATTTTTGTGATATCATTACTCTTTGTTCACAACACAACTTACACGCCTTAATGTTTAGTTTTCGGTTTAAGGTTAACGTATGTAAGTGTTGTTTTCATTAAGAATCCCTTTTTATCTTTTTTTTTTCCACTATCGCTCAATTTAAATCATAGACAATGTAGATTTTAGATAGTCAATAATTGATAGTTTGCGTAAGTGTCCTTATTCATATATAAAATAACAACAACTGGCCTAGCTTAAACACATCTTAATTGCCTTGATAATTTCGTTTCGGTTAAGGCTAATTACTTAATGTGTTTTTGGCAATCATTTAAATATTATAAAATTTGTTTTTTGTTGTTTTTTTTTTTTTCTCAATAATTATTCATCGTCTTTCCTCAAAATTAAAATTATTGTAACTTTAAACTTTACTTAATTGAATTGAATTTTACCTCTGCCTTCACCTAAGTAATTTTGTTACACTAAACAAGCTCAGGTCTGATGCTCTTGATATATACATATGAACCTGATATCTATGCAACTAAGTAGCTTATTCCCTTTATATATATATATTTATTCATTCAATTAACATTTGTTGATAGATATCACAGATTAATTGCATTATTTTTCTTTTAGTATGTTTGTACATATTATAATTATGCCTTTTCTTTACTAATTTATATAATTCTAAAACAATCTTGTATTTATATCTACTGTATATATGATCTTTTGTACTATCTG